AAAATGCCAGAGTAAGATGCTGCTGCCTCCTCAGCCTCACTTCTCTGTTCAGAAATCTTCCTGTGCCCCCCCTGCTGCTTCCAGCCTGCAGTGCCACGTGCCATCTTTCCTCACCTTTAATGGCCAGATGTAAATTTGCTATTGGGTGCTGGTCCTTCAAAGGGTGTTGAGAGGTTGGTGCTGCTGGGAGCACGTCAGGGAACTCCATTAAAAGCAAAGGAGGAACATGTTTATTTGAAGCAGCAGCCTCCTCTGTAACATTATGCCTCGTGTGGGCTTCAGAGATGACTTTATATGAGGGCTAGCTGAGTGATAGGGACTTAATTTTTCTATGTGTAGGAGATGAAATTGGTGCAGGTGAAAGGGAGGAATTTTGTCGGAGAGCTGGAGAGGGGCTGGTGCACCTGAGAGGAGACCTGCAGAAGTCCTGGCTGCTGCGAGGGTCGGGCGGGGGATGTGATGGCACTGCCGGGAGCACTCGCTGCTCAGAGTGCGGGCAGTGTCAACAAACCCTCCCAGTGGTTCATTGTATGAAGCCTCACGTACAGCCAGCTGGGAACTTTCCACTGGTACAATTTTTTTCATAAGAAAATATGTAAACAAAACTTCCCACAGGAAACTGCATATGTTTTCACTGAAGATGGAGCGATATACCGTAAGTAGAGTCACATCCATCCCACTGAAACTGTGGTCTAGTGATTTATAGCACTGGCTGGAGGTATGGTATAAATAAGATCAAAATTCTTGGAAGTGACCACGTGCATCTGCCCTTTCTTGCCTCTTTTGCCTCTTGGTACCAGGTTAAAGGGGGGGAAATGGATACTCTCTCAATTACTGAATGGGAAAGCATCTCCTTCTTGTGTTGGACGTATTTAAGAAATGTCCTAACTCAAGGAAAAATTTTGAGTCAAAGCAAAGCAGAGATCTCACAGTGAAGGTCTCAAAAGAAAGCCCCTGGCAAGCAAACTTTTAAATTAGTTTTGTCAAACACTTCTAAAAGTTTCCAGCAGAAGCTTTAGCCTATTTCTTTGTTTCTGGAAGTATTTTTGCTCTTTCATATTCAATTATTAGATTTTATTTATTCAAATACTTGGGTTTTTTTATTCAATAACATGCTTTTGTTTCCAAGATTTTTTACTAGTGTCAGCTTTGTTCATGCTGAAATTAATTTTTTATAAACAGCTGAGCTTGCTGGTGCCTTTGTGAGTGCGTGTTGTCCTTAATCTCAGGGATTGCCTTCAAATAGCTTTCTAAACCCAGAATGCTTCTTCAGGCCTGTGTTTTTTGATGGAAGTTTTTCTTGTATTCCTTGCGAGTTTCATTCTTTCTGGATAAAAAAACATAGCTACGTGTTCTTCCCGAGTGTGTTGTGTACAGCTTGGTAAGTATTTCTATCGCTGCATCATCGTAGCACAGAAGCAGTTTAGTTGTGCTCCTGTTCAGTGTTTAACCAGGTGGTGGCGTAAAAGTGGAAGGAATATTTTCTGCAAGCACCAGAGGAGACAAGGCTCTCCTTCATAGAAACTTTTCACCAATTTAGTTTTTTCAATGGAAAAAAATCTTTTAAAAATTTGCTGAGGTGGATTTTGTTTGCTTGGTTTTTACTTCTCTCTTTTTGTATTGCAGATAGATAGCAGAGAGGAATGCAAAAGCAAGAAACAAACTGGAGATTTTTCTCATTACCCCCCCAAAGTATGTGAAGCTGAGGAGAATAAGGATGGTGCTGAATGTACAGACAAAATGGTGAAACAGCACAAACAAAATGTAAGCTAAAATTTATTGACCACCAAATACTTTGCACAAATCTAATCACACATCTGAAAGCCAGGGACACAGCGTGTGTGGTTTTGTTGTGCAGCCCCAGTCTGTCCCTCCACTGGTGCAACAGCAAAGGTTGGTCTTACTCTGCACTCCGCAGCAGGTTTCCCTTGTCAAAATGTGCTGGTTTGTGTGTTTCCAGCACTAAGCAAAGGCTTATTTCTCTCTTACCTCTTACGAGTTTGGGATAATTCTTCAAGTACAAGGACAGATGTGGTGTGCCACATGTTCTGTTGCTTCCTACTGCGAGAGTTCAGTAATCACTGGGCACATCTTGTGGCAAATGTTTACACAGTGATAACTGCTGTACATTTTGTCATCTCTCTGCAATGTTATCTCAGCGTTCTTGCTATTAGAAGTCAGATGAGAAATAATCACTGAAAGCATCTTGGAGAAAAAGGCAAGGAACTGTACAAAACAATGTTCTTTAGACCTGGCTGTGCTGCCACCAGCCCGCATGGCCGATGGCAAGGTCTGAGGAAGAGGCAGCCATGGTCGGCAGGGGCTCTGCTCACTGTGGCTTTAGGAATAACTAAATTCCTTAAGTCTCCCAAATGTGGAAAACAAAGAGACGCTGTGAGGCACAAATGCTGTCTGTGCAGATCGTATCTTCTGCACACTGACAGCCAAAGCCACGGGAAACCATGTTAATTCTGCAGGATAGGTCTCCATAGGCAGATTTACTCACTCTACCTGTGGTGCAATTTAATCTCTGCAGGAAATCCAGATGTGGCCAGTGCAAATAGCCAGCGCTGGCTGCACCTGCTGCCTGAAGGACAGGATTTGCCATTGCTGTTACCGTGAGCACCGGACACCTTTGTTGAGCACCAACAAATGGTGCTGCTGGTTCTGGAAGTTGTGGAGCTGCTCCTGCGACCCAGCATCAGGAAGTGCTTCCTGCAGAGCAGGTGGATTTCTCCTTGCAAGGGGCTCTGTGTGAGGCAGAGGTTTAGCCCAGCAAGGTGTGCCATTTGGACATGAACACATTGCAAGTCAATAATCTTTCAAAGGAAAAAGCATCTGAAAATACTTAATATTTCTGGATGTGACTACATCGGTGGACAAGGGAAGAGCTACAGATGTCATCTGTTTGGACTTTTCTAAGGCCTTTGGCATGGTCCCCCACAGCAACCTTCTCTCTAAATGGGAGAGAGATGGATTTGATGGATGGGCTGTTTGGTGGATGAGGAATTTGTTGGACCGTCACATCCAGAGGGTAGTGGTCAACAGCTCAATGTCCAGATGGGGACTGGTGACAAGTCATGTCCCTCAGGGGGTCCGTACTGGGACCAGGACTGTTTAATGTATTTATAAGTGACACAGACAGTGGGACCGAGTGCACCCTCAGCTGGTTTGCAGATGACACCAAGTGGTGCAGTTGACACCCGAGGGACAGGATGCCACCCAGAGGGACTTGGACAGGCTTGAGAAGTGGGACCATGTGAACATCATGAGGTTCAACAAGGCAAAGTGCATGGGTCAGGGCAAACCCCAGTATCAATACAGGCTGGGGAATGAAGGGACTGAGAGCAGCCCTGTGGAGAAGGACTTAGGGGTACTCATAGATGAAAAGCTTGATGTGAGCTGGCAATGTTCACTTGCAGTCCAGAAAACCAACTGTATCCTGGGCTGCATCAAGAGAAGTGTGGCCAGCAAGTCAAGGGAAACAATTCTGCCCCTCTACTTCCCTCTAGTGAGACCCCACCTGCAGTGCTGTGTCCAGCTCTGGAGCATTCAGCACAGGAAGGACATGGATCTGTTGGAGTGGGTCCAGAGGAGGCCACAAAGATGATCAGAGGGATTGAACACCTCTCCTGTGAGGACAGGCTGAGACAGCTGGGATTGTTCAGCCTTCAGAGAAGGCTCCGAGGAGACGACATTGTGGCCTTTCAGTACTTAAAGTGGTCTTATAAGAAAGATGGAGACAAACTTTTTAGTAGGGTGTGTTGTGGTAGGACAAGGGGTAATGGTTTTAAACTAAAAGAGAGTAGATTTAGACTAGCTATAAGGAAGAAATTTTTTATGATGAGAATGGTGAAACACTGAACAAGTTGACCAGAGAGGTGGTAGATGCCCCTCCCTGGAAGCATTCAGGGTCAGGTTGGACGGGGCTCAGAGCAACCTGATATAGTTGAAGATGTCCCTACCCATTGCAGGAGGGGTTGGACTAGAGGACCTTTAAAGATGCCTTCTAACCCCAACTATTCTACAATGCTACAATTCTGTACCAGCTTGAGGAAGGCTGTGCCTTTGAACCTGTGCTGCTGAAGCTTGCATGACTTCTCTGCATTGGTGTGCCACCGCAGGATGCTTATTTGCCAGTTTAAGAGAACTGAGTGGGATGTTTGGAGCAGCTGTGCAGGTGATGGTGTGGAGGAGGAGGAAGGTGAGGATGGAGATCAGTGTTTAATCACTGAAGAGAAAGGGGTGTAGTTTAACCTTGGCTCTTATACTACTATTACTACTGTAAATGAAGTTAATCCCTTGCCATGTCACTGCTCAGGGCTCTGATGCAGCACATGGATGGCATGAGAATTTTCTAGTGGAGCATCACTTAGTCCACAGCAGGATTTGAGCTTTTTAATATACCCACAGAAATGGAAAATTCCCTTTGGGAGGATGGAGAAGGCTTATCTTTGTGAGGGAGAAAAGAAAGGTGAATACCAACGTGATGGAGGCATCATGACCCATCAGTGTCTCCCAGCAGTTGGGGATGACTCAGGGGTATGGCGCTGGTGTGATGCTATGACAGGCTCATCAACAACATGCAGGGAGACAACTCATACAGACCACCCCTGAGATAAATGAGCTCTTTGCAGGGGTAAATGCAGAGCCACGTTAGCTGAGGCTTATTCAGCTGTTCCTCACAGTATTGATAAAACGTTTTACTTGGTGACATTTTTGCCCACTTCTCCAACACTGTCCTATATTCTAACAGCAAAACACCTCCTGTGCCAGCTGTGGGAAGCTATCACACATTCACAGAGATGCTGACGGACTGAGCCTTTTCTAGGGACTCCGGATGTGCTGGAACATGTGCAATTTATTCCTTCTTCAGCAGTACTCGCAATATCCCCAGTGCAGGCTGAGCACAGGAAGGCAGCCCTTCCCTGAGAGATCACACATGGCTGTGGTCAGTCAGGAAACAGAGGACAGAGGCTGTGGTGGGGCCATGCTTCCCGGCCCCGCATCACCCAGCACAAGCCCCAGCCCTTATCTTGATAATGTGAGCTTCTCCTCTTTTATTTTTTTTTACATCTAATTTTGATATTAGCATTTCAGAATTGAGCATTGCCCATGATGAAAGCATTTATTCCTATTTAATAAAATCCCTCTATTTCCATATAAAACCCACCTGTAATGAAAATGATTGTTCACAAATAGTGAGCAAATAAGTGGCCCGCACTTTGTAATTTAAACATTGTCAAAATGAGACCACAGAGGTGTCCCATTCCCTTGGAAAATACCACGCATGGCAGAGAAGTGCCAGCAGGATGACCTTGCTGGGGTGAGCGGGGGGCCCGGAGGCCACACTGGTATCAACCACCCTGCACTTGTCTTCACTTGCCAGTTCAGATGGCACTGTGCAGTCTGTCGGGTCCCCTGGATGGGGGACATTGAGCACTGTCATGTTATCAGGGCCCAGGAAATCACAGTGCAGCCCTCTGATCACTCCCCTGTGCGTTGTGGTCCCCTGCCAGAACCAACGCATCCTGCAGTCGCATTTCCAGGGGTTGTGGGATAAAAACACGTACTTGAGTTTTGGCAGTTCAGCGAACAAGTGGATAGGGAGGGAGCTGAGGTTGTTCTTGCTCAGGTGAAGAAAGTGCAGCTTGTTTAAGTATGAGAAAGCAGAATCTGAGATTGAGGCGATCTGGTTGTTGTTGAGGTACAAGTTTCTCAAGTTCAGCAGATGTCTGAAGGTGCAGTTGACAGCAGTGATCCTGTTGGCTTCCAGGTGCATGGTCTTGAGCTGGATCAATCCATCGAAAAGCTGATTAGGCAAAGCAGCAATGAAGTTGTGTCCTAAATTTAACATGCTCAATCTGAGAAGCTTTGTAAAAGCGCCGTTTTGAATGATCCATATATGATTCTTCCTGAGATTCAGATCGTGCAGGGTTTCCAAGTCCTTCAGGGAATCTCTGCCAATGGCTTCTATGTGGTTGCCCTCCAGGGACAGCCTCGTGAGGCTGGAGAGGTTCCTAAAGGCTTGTGGAAAATACCGCATGTTATTGGAGGCTAAATTGAGTCTTTCTAAAGAAGAGAGGTGTGAAAATAAAAGTGGGTGGATCTCGAAGATATTGCAGTGGGACAAATCCAGGCTGATGAGGCTTGATAGTCCTCTGAAAGTGTTTGCATGCAGGTAGGCGAGACGTGAGTTCCTGCTGAGGTGCAGCTCTCGCAGCTTGCTGAGAGTGTGGAAGGACCCCGGAGACAGGAAAGTCAGGTTGTTTCCATCTAGCCAGAGGCTGTGGAGGGAAGTCAGGTTTCTGAAGGTGGTGGTGGTGAGAATCCGCAAATAATTATTGGAGAGATTTAGAGAGATGGTAGATGCTGCTATTTCTTCAGGGAGGGCGCTCAGTCCGGCTCCGCTACAGTGGATAATCTCTTCAGGTGAACATTTGCACATGCTTGGGCATGAATCAGAGATATTCAGACTCAGCCCAACCTTTGCTGCACAAATAAATAGAAACATAACAGGAAAGAACATGACCAGCCACAAGTCAGCCACTGCATCTAATACCTGACAGATAGTAGAGAAGAAGGCAGGAAAAAGAGCATGTACCTTTTGGATAGGTGAACCGCGAGCATTGCAGTCAGTTGGGCTGTGCTTTTAGTGCACAGTGAAAATAAATTAGCTGGTTCTTCCTGCTGCAGACCGATGGGGATCAAGTCTTTAGGCAGATAAAAGACGATTAAGTGCTGCCCTGCTGTGAAGAGTATTACTGAGAGGCAGGGAGATTTCTCAGCCACCATCACGCCCAGACAGTGTTTTTTCCCATGTCCTGCCCTCTGCAAACAGCAGCAGGTAGCATCTTCCCTCAGGATCTGTCTGGGAGAGGGTCCTGCTCCTGGGTTGATCACCATTCTCAGAATCTGCTTGGCAGTTTACAAAAATCTCCCCCCAAAGCAGTTTTTTTGAGCACTTTGCTCCAGTTAGGGCTTCAGCAAAGGCAGCTGAGAGTGGCTCTGCCGTCTGGATGTGGGATGGGGGGCTCTCACCCTGGTGTGGCTGCACATGCTGGCTGATGCCCTGGGCTCAGGCTGTGGTCTGAAGCTGAGGAAAGCGAAGCTGTGACTGGGCCCTGAGCACAGCCCTGTCGATGGCTGTGACTCTTCTGCAGGAGACTGTCAGGAGCTGGGTGAGCCTCGTGTTCCCTGGCAGCCGGGAATGTGCGGGGGAGTGCTCTGTCCTGGTGGAACCTCTTCTCGGGATAAGCCCTGAGCCGTCTCTGAGTTGTAAAAGTTGATCCCCGTGGGTGAAACGCAGGGTACCCCAAGGGCATGCTGCCCTTGCCAGGGTGCTGCCTGTGCCCAGCAGGTCTGAAGATACACTGAGCAGCCAGAGATGGGCTTGGGTCCCCAAAAACCCATGTCCCTGGGGCCCGACCTGGTTTTTATCCTACATCCGCAGTGCAAAGGAAAAGTGCAGCTGGGGAGCTGACTGATGCAACTGCCAGGCAGGGATCGGCAATCTGCAGGCAGATTATTTTGCTTACGATGCCAAGAGGACTAGATCTGGCCTTGCAGCTGATGTGTCAGCAGGGCAACCAGTGACACAGTTGCTCATCTCGTTTTTTCTCACTCTTTTGTTTTCCCCTTCACTTCTCTCTGCTGGCGTTCTGTCTTGTGTTTGAAGCACCTTCTCTGTCCCCTCCCTTCAGGTGCATTTCCCTGCTCTTAATTTCTTGGCCTGTCTCAGCTTTTTTTTTTTTTTTTTTTTTTTCCCCCATGTTTTACAGATTTCAGTTTCCTTTCTCTCCGCTACTCTGCCAGCTCTGCCGGGACAGTGGCTAAAAATCCAAATATATGATATGCCCGATGGTAAGCATGAATTGGACAAATTTGCAGATCCATTTTTTTCCTCTGCAGAAGCAGATTAAGTTTCCTGTGATGTTAAACTGCTGTGTTGGCTTCAGCTAGTTCTGTTTTCTTTTTCATTTTTTCAAGCAACAACCCCCCAAAGAATAGCTTCTCCCTGGAAGCTTGGCTGGGATGGCTGTGTTGTGTAATGGAGACCATCTTCCAGCTGTAAACAACATCATTTAGTTAGACAGGCTTTGCCACAGTGTTACTAGGGGCTAAAAGCTGGTTTTCACCCTGACAGCAGCAGTGACGGCACCTTGCCAAGGGGCTTGTCCTGGGAGCCCTGGAGGAAGGTAGAAGCATATGATGCTCACTCCATCCATTACTCATGTCTGGGGCTTTGCTGAAGGTTTTGGTGGGTGAATCTTTGTTTTCTGTATTCCTGGCTCAGCTGGGACTGCTCCTTTGAGGACATTACTTGGGAGGAGTGTCCCACTGCTGGGATCTCTAAGGCTGCTCTTACCTCCTGCAGCAGCACAGCTATGAATATCCATTGCTCCACGACTTTGCCTGTGCACCCCTGTGACAGACAGGTTTCTGCTGGTCTTTGTGCAGGGTGTGTGAGCTGTTCTGTGTCTGCTAGGAATGGTGTCACCTCTAGCTGAAGATTTGTAGCTCTAGTGTCCTTTTTATTCTCCACAGGCTTTATTTCTGGTTGTAATTCCAGCAGTGTTGTCTTGTTCTAGCCCTTGTTTAAGCCCAGTGCGCTCTCTAATTCTCCTTGGTTTCATATTGGAAATTTTCAGAGGGCGAAAGCGTTCAGCTCCTGGAGCTCATCATTGCCAGATGATGCTTAACTGGACTAAAACATAGTAGTGAAACAGGACCACACAGCTGCAGAATGGTTCCTTGCTTCAGAGCTTGTAGGCCCAAAGAAGCCTGTAAAGTATGGAAATGACCAGTTTTTTACACCTTGTCATGGGTTTGGCAACTCCAGCTGCTCCCTGTAATGTTTCCATGATGCACAGGGGTTGGCAGCTGCTCTTGCCGGGATTTTGGCTGTGGCTGCTGCCTGGGCCACTTAACTGATGGCAGCTCTGGTTGTGGCTGCCCTTGGGGTGGAAGCAATGCAGTGGTGTATCGTTGCTCCACACCTCACCGTGGAGAGCTAAACCTTTGCTGGTGGCTGAGTGTTGATCCAAGATAGTGATTGCAGGTATACGCTGCGTGTGCTGCAGTGCTCAGGGCTCCTTTGCAAGAAGCACTCAGCACTGCCTGTCCAGCTTCGGCTTCCTCAGCACCATTGCTGGTCAGCAGTAGCCAGCGTCACCGCCACATCGGATGCTGCAGAGACAAGGTGAAGACATGGTCCTTGAGGAGAACTACCAATTGATTTTTCTCTCTAGCTGCTTTTTAAAAAATACTTTCCCACTATGGTCCATTTAATTATGAGCACCTCAGCTCTTGGGCTGCCTTTTCCAGTTTTAGCTCTTTGCATGCAGGGATTTTTGGTTGTCTCACTCCATCTGCTAGGAGGGTTTTCTGAAGCACATCATGTGTTTTGGCTGAGGTGGCTCATCCTTCCGGCTTAAATGGAAAGGCTGAGCCACTGCAGGTCGTCTGTTAAAATGTATTCCACCCATTGCATGACCATGAATTGTGTTTTGTCTTTTCTTCAGTCACTGATTTATCTGACATTTGGGATTTATAGCTCAGCACACCCACTTCAGAAATTGTTTGTAGCTGATGTCAAGAGCTTTGCTTAAAAGTGTAGATTTTAAAGAGCTGTATTCTCTACAGGATCCAGGTTTGATCCAAGCAGTCCAAATATCTACTTTGGGATGGTCTTGCTGGTCTAATGAGTTACAGGAGCAAGATTTGCTTTCTTTAAACTTTCTGGTGAGCAAAGGTGGGGTGGGCAGAATCACTTAATAGCTTTGTTGATTAAAAGAAGGATTAAGTTAGTTTGTTCCTGACACTCGGGTATTCATTCTGACTTCCCCAAAGCTTTATCTAGCTGGAGAACTCTTTCATGTGTATCTCAGCCTTTTTGGTACATAAGAGACATTCCTGACAGAAACACTTAAAAAGTGGGAAATGATGCTTGCAGTGAGTATAGTTCAAAACAGCAAAGGAAGGCAGATTTTTATTTTTAAAGGATCTCTGGAAAGAGACCCCCTGGGTACTCTGTAGCTCTGTAAAACTGGCCAGAGTCCTAGCTCTTCCTAAACAATCACTTTGAGACCCTAAAAAGAAATGTGAAGTATGCTCCCACATCCTTTAAATATACAGATATATTAATACTAATAAAGCAGAAGTTAGACAGGAGGGACCTTTCTCCCACAAGCTGTGAGCATCAATGTCTTGACCTCTGCTGCGCATCACAGCAACTGGTCTGGGAGAAGTGAACAGGAGAAAATTACCTGTGATGAAAAATTGTTCTTTATGAAAGCTGAATAGGTTCCCATTGCCATCTGGCTGAGCAGGTCTCAACCACTGAAATGCTGTGCTTTGGCCATATCAGTGTCTGTGGAATTTAGGCTCAATGCCCGTCATGGTCAAGCCCTGGTGCCTGTTGGATTATCTTTATTTGGGGTCATGGCTCAGAGCTGTGCAGCACTCGGGAATGGAGCTCTGGCCAAGTCCTTCTGCCTTCAGCAAGGCCAGGCGTGTTGTGGTGCTCCCGCTGAGAGCAGGCATTGGCGCCAGGGCGCATGTGCACTCACTGCCTTTAATAGCAACGGGTGCAGCATGTTTTCAAAGTCACTATGTGCTTGTTTTCTTTACTACTTTTAGTAACTTGTAAAATGCTTACGGCCAATTATTTGAACAAACAATGTCATGGAGGATAATCTCAGTCTTGGCAGTGCATCCGCTAGACACAAACATCTCATAAAAGAAATGCTTTGGAAAAGTTTTCTGCATGCTGGAGGTGGAAAGGGTGTCCCTCTTCCCTCAGAACTGCCTCTGCCACACTCTAGACACTGAATTGCTTCAAAAACTGTCTTCTTCCAACATGGGAGGCCCAAAGAATGGGTCCAGAGCTCTCTGTACTCTGATGGGTCCTGGCTGGGTGGTCCTTGTGTTCACCGCTGTGCTGCTGCAAAGTGAAAAAGCAGAGCTTTCTCCAGGCCTGCTCAGTGCTTCCACATGAAATCGTGGCTTCAGGAGTGAAAGTGCAACATTGACCATGGTCTCCCCTTTAAAAATGCTAGTAGTTCTCCCTCCTGGCCAAATCACTGGGTTTGCAGACACCTGCTGTCAGAACTGATCATGCTTCAGACGTACGTGAGACAGCATTAAGACCCAGCACGCCAAGGCAAGAACCACAGATGCTGGGTGTGAGCAGGGCTCACTGCCTCGGCCATCAATTTTCAACTGGTCGCTGCTCACAACTGCTCTTCTCCTTAAGGCCCCAAAAAGGTTGAGAAAAGGCAGTCTTCTCTGCAGGAGTGCTCTGGGCCTGTGGAAGGACGAGGTAGATAGATACTCCAATCTTATTTGCAAGACTGAGCAATTAATGCCTAAAGAAACCCTTAAACAAACAAATGGGGGAAGGAGGAATGCACATAAAAGTTTACGGAGAGCTGGGCAACCCAGCTGCAGGCGGGATGGTTTCAGTGCATGTGTGCAGAGGGCCTGTCATTTGGCATGAGGCGAACGCACCAGCCGGCTCGATGGAAATCATCACTCCCCCAGGAGCGTGTGAGCGCTGGATTCCTAGCTCCTGCTGCCAGCCCTGGGAGTCAGGGCATCCTTCTGTAAATCACCACCAAAGGGGGCAGAGCCATACTGACCTACGTTGAGTTATGCCTCTTGGGGAGAACATTTATGAGATTTTTTTTTTCTCCCCTCTTGCTTTCTCCAAAAGGAACAAGTCAAGCCTGTGAATACAGTCTACATCTGGATCCCACATTGCTCTGAGGATTTGGCAGGCTGGCAAGGTTTAACCTCAAGAGCTGGCTCTGACAGTCTGCTGGCGCAGTCGGGTACGCTACCTGTTCAGAATGTTGCATCCCTGACAGCAGCACTTCGTTGCAAAAACCAAGACCTAAGACTTGGATTGCATGAATCCTTTTTTTTTTTTTTCTTTTTTTTTTTCTTTCTTCAATTTGCACATTTGATTCGAAGTTGCTATTGAGGGGAGGGGTTGTAGTGGTGGTTTTGTGTGTGTGAGGTTTTTTTGTTTCAAGTTTTTTGGGGGGTTGTTTTGGTTCTTTTTTAAACACTTCTAGTGACCTCTTTAGGTGCATGGGCTTGAGGATAGAAAGGTAAACCTGAGTGCTGCATGTGAACATACAGCATAATTTCTTCTTCTCTTTAATTTTTTTTTTTGTATAAAATACATGCATAATATCCTTCCCCAAATACATGTCCCAGGAAGCACTAACTCCTCACCATTTAATAGCAAACAGGTCTTCT